GATTGGGTTGGATAAAATTCTTTTAAAATTCAGTACCTCCATAAAGTGATCCATAATTTTTAGCCCTCTGCCTGCTTTACATGGTTCATAATATTAATTTCTCTTAGTATTTGCAGTTTGGCTGTAGCTGGGGTTCTGCGACATTTCAAAGGTGTTCTGGCAGTCAAAGCGAGCTATTACTCTTCCTTCACATTTAGGAACATTATTCAATCTCAGGAGCACCAGGATCACACAACTGAGGCCTAAAAATACCACTCACTGAGCTTGCACCTCTCATGCATTGGAATCAGGGTCGTAAAGAGATTCAAAATTAATGAATATTTACTTTTTTGATTATATCAATTTATAATTCCTGCAACAGTTCTCCTTTTCTTCCCCCGAAACTCTAATTTTCACAACTCCACTCATCTTGTTGACTGAACTCCCAGCCGTACCTCTGCTCCTTGGTGTCACCGATGCCAACAGTCCTGGCAGTCTTCACTTGTCTCTCTGGATCCTCAAAGAGTAAGCAAGATGTCTTCCTCCATCTTTTCTCTTCCTTTGTCTTTTTGTTCTGCTTTTCTGCCCAGGTTCTGTTGCTTCATGCTGGGACCCCCTGCCTCTGCATTAGGACCCCATAAAGAGCTTATTGAAATCATTCCCTTGGGACACACTGAAAATTTGGGCTGTATCCGTGTCTCAGTTTCCACGAAGAGTCAAACCCCTTTTCTCCCTCTCATTTTAACATAAGACTCTTTGTAGCCCTCCTACCAATGGAGGGGAGAAGATTTGCTGTTTCTTTCTGGTGCATGACTCGGAATCTGCACCCAGAACTGGGTTGTACGGGCCAAGGAACTGAGCAGAGGACAGAATGAAGGACAAGTGAGACTTCAGTGACAACAGGACTGGAAACTTTATTTTCGGATAGGATTGGGTGCACGTGCTGCCACTCCTCAGCTGGAGTGGAGACTGTGAGATGCTGACATCGGGGAGGAAGCGGTCTCTGGGAGAACATGGGACCCTGGACAGCAACCCGCAGCCTGGCCAGTGAAAGCCACAGCAAGGCCTCTGGAAAGGGTGCAACAAGATGAGCCGCTCTCTGGCTCTTGGGATTCTTGTTTCCTCCGAAATCCGGGTCTCAGCATCAGGTCCAGGTCAGCAGCCGCCCCCAGAGCTGTGGCCACAGCCAGAGCCCCCACACTGCCGGCCGCTGGCACCATCACACGAGTCCGAGCTCCGCAGCCTGCACCTGTGCGACCTGCGGCGCCTGTGCGGGCTCAGGCAGCAGCCGCCCCCGGAGCTGGAGCTGAGGCCCCCGCAGCCCGCAGAGCTGGGCGCACAGCAGGAGGAGGCAGCAGGCAGACACTGTGCCGGGCTCTTCTGG